AGTTGAATTACCAAGTACTCCATTCTCCTTATCATTATTTTTATACTTGTCCTTCTTTTTACTTTCAAACAACTTCCAAAATTTCAAATTTTCGTCACTGGCTGCCGTAGCAACCATCTGACCATCCGGACTGGTAGCTGAATGCAAAACACGAGTTTCATGTGCCCTGATGTCCACAATTTTCTTGAGGTCAGGATAAGACCAAATCGTAATATGATTGTCGGGAAATCCGTGTGTCGATAATACTTCTTTGTATTCACGAGACCAAATGATAGAAGTTACTTGGGAACCAGTGTCGATGGAGCGTATGCGAGCTACTTGGGTAGTATTCCAGAAGTGAATGTTACGATCATGTGAACCTCCCCCGGTGGCAAGGATATTCGCATGCCATGGACACCATGCGACTGCCTGTAGGATGGGTTTGTTTATGGATAAGCGTTGCATATGAAGATACATAATCAATAAACCATGTTCTTACCTTTACTGCAGCTCGGTGGTTGTTCTTTGTCCACTTGGGTAGATTTGATCTTGCATCCCATACATTTATTCTATTATCATTGCCACCACTGGCCAGGAGGGCACCATCGTTACGCCATTTTAATCCGCAAACTTCGCTTGTATGGTTTAACAGTTCGGCCACTTTATGTTCTGCTATCCTAATGTCGTGATGCCAAATACTCCCGTCCCTGCAACCGGATGATAAAATATATTTATTCCAAGAAAGTACCCCTACACGTGCAGAATGTCCAAGCATAGAACGAACTTTTGATCCCTTCTCAATATCCCATATTTGAGTATCTCCGTAACTAGTCCCAACTGCAAGATACTCGCCATCTTGTGACCACACCAATCCGGAAATATATTCATCATCTCTTACAGAGGCCATTGAGCTAACATCACCAGTTTCAGCATCCCACACGTAAACTGTCTTATCCAACGCAATAGCTACCATATTCCTAACACTCCAATCTAATAGATTTAAATAGTAATCATCTTGCATTCCGGGTGCATCAAGAATGCGTTCAGGTGTGCTAATAATGCGTCTTTTGATGCAAGTGGTAACTTTGGTGACTGAAGAATTGGAATACAAAAGTCTTAAGTCCTGTTTATCGGGTTTTGGTGGTTCCACATTGAACGCAAGGATGCGCTTGTCGAGTGAAATCCCGGCAGCGCGTGCGATCTCCTCCTGGTAAGCTCTGTCGACGTCATCAAGATCCTGAGACTTTGATGGACGAGTGTTTATATTAAATCTCGTGGATTCTTCATCCATTGCTTCACGGTTGGGAATAAATCGATCAAACTTGTAAAGAAAAAAAAGGGTAATTTAATGACTCGATAATATAATAATTGGTGCTAACCATATAAACTCACATGATTTTTGGCTTTCTTTGGAGTCGCTTCAACAGGACCAATCCAATCTTTCCCAATAACATTAAGCTTCTGAACTTCTCTCTTAGCGTGATAGACTCTGCTACCTGATTTACCAGATTTAAATACGCCTATTAATTTGCTCTGCCCGGAGGGAGAGGTTCTACCTATTAGTTTCCGACTAGGTGATGTCTTGTGTATCGAGGATCCTCTATTCGGCGAAAGTGTTGATAAAGAACTCGACGTCCTCGCGGACTTTGGTGTACGGTTGACTTTTGACTGCGTCGGTGAGGAGATTGACTTTGAAGTCGCCAGTTTTGCGGAAAAAAAATATGAAAGTACTTATAAGTAATGAAGGAATAATTCGCTAACTGCCGACTTTCATGCGAGCAAGCAACCAGGCCAGTATTAAAAATGAATTTTGCTTTTGAAGAAAATTCGGATTGAGCTAAGGTCTTCCCTTATACTTGGTGGTGTAAACACGTTTTGAGTGCCCACTAAATGAATACGTGTTTAGGATAAGATGTACGCGACCAATCAAACAAGCGGGTAAGGCTAGATGATCAGGAAAATTTAGATCAACCGTTACATAATAATCATAACCCATACCCCTGCATTACGATATTACGTAATAAGGACGTTTTGGGTCATAACCAATACTGTAATGTTCGACTTCAAAAGTTCTTTCCGTTCTCACTCTTAGAATTCCCTCCATTTTCGATGAATAGCTACAACTCACGAACCAGTGGGAATCATACACAAGAGATTCGCAAGAATTCAACGTCAGAGATGGGCCAGCCACAATACGGTTTATATTGAATCCACATATTTTACTGTAATTTGGGGATGTCAACGCGAACCCTCCGTCTCAATGCATGTAACTAATGAATAGCTTTCGTCCCGCAGAAAATCCATACGGTCCACCGTCGGTGCCACAGTCTTCACGGAGTGATCACAAACGTGAAGAGTCACCACCGCAGAGATCAAACTATCACAAAGATCATAACCGATCAAGGGGACTAAGGCAATGGAGGAATGGTGGTGGAGGGAACGGCAGTGGAAACGGAGGTAATAGTGGGAATTCAAGAATGCGATCGAGGAATAATTTCAACGATCGTAGATCCCGCGAGAAGAATAGGGATTCTTGGACCAACAGACATTATTCGGACAGGCCACGTCACCGTGATTCTGGATCTCATAGAGATAGAAGAGATAGCTGGGTTTCGAGACCGTTTCAACAAGATACTTGGTTTCCACGTTCTTACCGTAATCATAATAGAAGTAAGTCACCCCGCCATAATAGACGACATACTTGGAATCAGGATCATTATCCTCAATACCAACAGTCTACATCGTCTCAGAGTAATTGGTCAAACTCTTCATCATCGGCTAATGCTGTGTCTTCCACCACGAACAAGACGTCTCCTGCATCTCACAATTCACAACAAAACGTTTCTCATAGAACATCACCACGTGCTTCATCACCTCAACAGGTTCTACCTGCAACTCCACAACCTTCGACATACGACACACCGCCACACACTTCTCAACATCCTACGCAAATGTCATCATTACAGTCACCGCAAACAGTAGCACCGAATTCATCACAGATACCAATTGAACAACACGCATCGCATATGATATCTCAACATTCATCGCAAATACCAGGAATACCATCTTCACAACATTCACCAATTCCAGCACAATGTCCACCACAACACAATTCATCCGTTCCACCTCATCCACAACATCAGACTCCACTTCATCAATCTCAGATGACCTCCCAACAAGGTCAACCACAACATTTGACACAATACTCCCTACAAAACCCAACCCAACACCAGCCCCAACATCCATCACAGCACCAGCCTCAGCACTCTTCACCACACCCTCATCGTCATCCCCCACAACATCCTCCACAACATCCTCCACAACATCCCCCACAACATCCTCCACAACATCCTCCACAACATCCTCCACAGCAACCATTACATGCATCTCTGCAATCCGCTCATCAACATCACAACCTTGCACCAGCACCGCACATGCCACTCCGATCACACGTTCAACCTGGCTCACTAGTTCCCCCATCTGCACCACCTGGCCAACTTCAATCTGGGCCAGCTGGTATACCCGGAGCCCCCGGTCAACATGCTCAACTCCCCCCTTACGCTGACCAAAATTTCCAGGAACCGGCTCCATTTCAAGGACAATTACCTCCCCAGATATCTACATGGGAACAAAATACTGTTGGATATCCACAACCTCAACCTCCTGGACACCATTATGCTGATGCTTATTACGGCCAAGCATCGTATGATCAGTATGCATCTCAATACGGCGGGTATTTAAACACTGGAGACAATATAAACTATTCATATGGGGACATTGACCGGCAACAGCCAGCGTATACATCACAACAGCATCAACCGCACATGTTACAACCACCACAGCAATATCAAATTCCTCCTGGGATAGCGCCTCCACCTCCCGGGGTGACGCAGATTACACATCCGATGCATTCAGTGTTAATGTCACATCCGCAAAATACTCGGCCACCAGACCCATCTTCGCATATGGGTAATTTGGGACAGGGGCCACATTCGTTGCCGCCTCAGGTTCCACCGCAGGGTCATCCAGTCCCACCGTTGGCTCCTCCACCGACGATGGCTCTCAAGCCTAATCAACCGTCAAATGTTCCAGGAAATGCGACAACAGCTGGGTCAACGTCTGCGCCAATACCTCTTGGAACAATACCGATGGCACCTGGAACAACTGCAAAACACCCGCATCCGGTAGGTGTTGCGCCGCCAATGCCAATTCTCCATCCACCAGGAATATCAAATACAACTATATCAGGATCATCCACGACAAGTGATCAAGTAATGAGCGCACCGCCACCAACTGCGAGATCAGTTCCAAATATGACCCCTGAAAAGCCTCCTGCTAGGCGCGCTCAGACAAATTCGCAACTGCCTGTATCAGTATCGTCAAGTGGGAAACCTGTTGAATTATATGAGAAGTTGGGACAAGTTGGAGAAGGTACTTACGGGTAAGTCTTTTTTGTCGATGCTATTTGCTGTTTATTCGGCCAGTATAGTATGCATTAGTCTTTCTTACTTGATTGACGAGTGAGTCTGCTGACCTTTAACCGAACATATTATAGGAAAGTGTACAAAGCAAGAAATAAAAAGACAGGCCAAATAGTTGCCTTAAAGAGGATAAGAATGGAGACCGAGAAAGAAGGTGTAAGTAATGAAATTTTTAATGTCGATAGGATGCAGCAATTTGTTGTTGGTAAGCGCTTCGTATCGCTGAACGTGTAAACGCTATTTTTGTTTGCTGATTATACAGTTTCCTATTACGGCCTTGCGAGAAATTAAACTGCTTCAGACTCTTCGCCATCAGCAAATTGTGCGCCTGTTGGAAATTATGGTGTTCAAGGGTGTGTGTGAGCATCGTTAACGTAATATCGATATTATTCATAGTCAATTTATTCAATTGCTGTTTTCCTTAGGTGACGTGTATATGGTCTTTGAGTATATGGACCACGATTTAACTGGAGTGTTGTCAAATCCACAGTTGAAATTCGAACCTTATCATGTGAAGTGTTTAATGAAGCAACTCCTTGAAGGACTTGCTTATTTACACGAAAAGGAGATCTTGCACCGGGACATAAAAGGTAAGAATGGCTAGTTTCGGTAATGTTATTAATTCGTGTTTCTGTCACTCGCTAATAAAGGTTAATTGTAGGATCAAATATCCTACTTAATAATAAGGGTGAATTGAAACTGGCCGATTTTGGACTTGCTCGCAGATTGCAAAAGCGAAGAGCAGCTGATTACACCAATCGGGTGATTACATTATGGTACAGGTCACCAGAGCTGTGCCTTGGTGCAACTGAGTATGGGCCAGAAGTCGATTTATGGAGTGCTGGGTAACTATCCGGTGATAATCGAATTGTTATTACATAAACGTATACTGATGTTAATACCACGACAAACATTTAGATGCATCATGTTGGAGCTGTTTACTAAAAAGCCGGTCTTCCAAGGGACAGATGAAATTAATCAATTAGAGTTGATATATAAACTTTTGGGTACACCTACGCGTGAGACTTGGCCGTCAATTTTGCAGTTGCCTTGGTATAATCTAATAAGATTCAAAGAGAGATACGAGTCTAAACTTAAAAGTGTATATGGAGAGTGAGTATGCACTTCTGAGAAGTTGACCAGATACGAGTTTGTGGGATTACGGGAAATAATTTAGAATGATGGGTTTATGGCTAATTATTATATAATTTCTTATTATACAGCATGATATCATCGGGAGCAATGGAACTCGTCGAGTCTCTGTTGTCGCTCGACCCATCGAAACGACCGTCTGCGAAGGAAGCATTGAAATTCGAGTATTTTACTTCCGAAGAACCAGTTGCATGTTCACCAAACGAGTATGTATTGATTACTTAAGGATGGGTGCCCACTTGTGCTTGCGCGTCAACTCATCTTCTCGATAATTATTAGGCTTCCTAAATTACAAGGAGATTGGCATGAGTATGAATCCAAGCAGCGAAAGAAAAAAAATAGCACAACTACATGGGACGCGTAATGTTTTGTCAGGCGCATTTTCAACTAATTAATACAAACGTAAGACTAGAAAAAGATGTACATATAAATAAATTTAAAATTATAGACACCATAAACCAGAATATCTTAGAGGAAACCTACCGCAGGTAAAAAGCCGACTTAATGATACAATGTTAGGCAGTCAAAAGAAGTATCTAACATGCGCACCCGAGAAGAACAGATCACAAGGATGTGCCCGAAATTGTTAGACGCTTCTTAATACCGATAGTTCTAGGACACAATAGCTGAAAGAACCTGGGGATATCAGGCAACATTTCCAAGAGAAGACGATGAATCACAGCATTAAATGATTCCTACTTCATTCCGGCGGGGACTGCTTATTCATCAGGTAATTGTGATTAGACCACAAAAGTTTTCTTTGAAGCTGAAATTATTAATTCCCGAGTAAAAACTAAACTTCTTCTGTATGCAATTTATTGTTTGACTCGACAGCCTGATGTTCAAAGCAGAGGACTACATAAGGGCTGTACAGAGTTTGGCAGCAGCCAATGACTGACATCAATCTACAATGTTGAAGGCCGAAGCGAGCATAGAAAATTTGACTAGAAAATAGACAATGAAAATAGTAATTTACTGATCGTAACTATTTTATAGAGATATTGGTTCTCTTAATCGATTAGATTTTAACTTTACCATGTCCATTCTATCTGTATAATTATAATGAACTTTTCACTCTAAGGTTTGTCTTACTTCCAATTTACATATTGATCATCAATATTGCAAAAAGTGCTATGGTTGACTTGATACAACCCACGGTAAGTACTTTATATAACACATGTCTATTAATTTAATTGCTAACAATTATCGTATCACATTGAAAGATTGAGATTTTGGTTTGCCTTTAAAAATAACGATTCTCGCCGTACGTATCTTTGAACCAGATTGAAAACAATTGGTATTTATAACGAGCGCATGGTGGCTAGTCTGCATCCTCGCATGCATAAACGCCTTGGATAGTTCTTACGCAACAGGAATTGAACAAGTTTTTGGCATGCGAGTTTTAGATTAGTGAGCTGATGCCGTGAGTTGCTTACCATCCTTAGCTTTCAAACAAAATTAACTTGCTTGCACAAGCAATAGCTATTATCATAGATTTTATGCTGGCTAACGTCTTGGGTTTTAAATTGGATGCAGATGGTCGAGAACTGTTTCACGCTATTTTGTAAGTAATATTCCGATCGCGCATTTTCGTATTTCTGTATTTGGAAACAATCGGCCACATATTCTCCACGTGATATGCCGATTAGAGGGCACGTCTGAAAATTCTCTCATCACATAAAAAGATAGAAATGCAAGCGTGTCACAGAAATGCGGTCAAAAAATTTTTAGAAATCCGGGATTACTGTTCTATTCAACAATGTCAACCGTACTCGTCCAAGGGGCAAGCAGAGGAATAGGACAAGCTTTAGTTCGCACTCTCCTCTTACGCACTCCCTACGATGTAATAGCAACATGTCGCGACCCTGAAACTAGTCAAAGTCAAATTACGTCCACACTTGATTCGTCACTCCTTCGCCGTCTATTCGTTTATAAACTGGACGTGACTAAAGAAAACACTATCATCAGTTGTTCTGAACAAGTGAAAAAGAACCACGGAGAAAAGCCATTAAGATTGTTGATAAATTCTGCTGGGATATTACATATGGACGAATCGCTGGATCAAATCAACGTTGATCTGATGGCTGAAAACTTTCAAACTAATGCTACTGGTAGTCTATTGGTTTGTAAGCACTTTGTAAAGTTATTAGATATGGATTTGGAGGCACACCGCGAAGAGCAGAATGAAGTTGGAGATGCAATGGATTTATTGCCGAAATTCGCAATTGTTGCTAATCTTTCTGTTAAGACCAGTAGCATTACGGATGGTTTATTGGGAGGGTGGTGAGTATTAATGATCAACTGTACGAGTATCAGAGAGACGTTTTACAACACGTAATTATTGCTCTAACCCATCGAACCTTTATAGGTACTCCTACAGAACAAGCAAGTGAGTTTTGCATTAATACATATACTGTGTTTTTTTCCTTTATTCACATCTGACTTATGTTCTACACGCCTGCAGAGCTGCTTTAAACCAATTGACGCGAACTCTTTCGATCGAATTTACACATCGTAAACAAAATGCAATATCTGTTGCACTCTATCCTGGCATAGTTGACACCGATCTATCGAGACAATATCTCAAGAATAAGCCAATCGATAATGTATTTACACCAGATCAGAGTGCAGGATACCTAGTAAACGTTATTAAAAATTTGAAGTTAGATGACTCTGGATTTCTACTCACATGGGATGGGGAAAAGACAACTTTTTAAAGAGACATTAGTACATGACTAAGAAGGACTCTGAAATCAGCTGGTTCAAATTGATTTAACAAGAAGGTACATTCTATGTATAATTAACAAGTTAGTAGACTTTTTGTTTCTTAATATAAATCTCATAACAGATTTCCAATGGGCATTTCTAATATTACCAGCGAGCATTGATTCTGGAATGCGCGCGACAAAAGCAAATATAACGCAGGTCAATTATCCTAATACGAAAGTTCCGTTCCTTGATCTGACAGTTGAGACATGTTTAAATTGACAGCTTACTTGCTCTCTTCGCTTAGACATCGGTAGCTGGCTGAACCTATTTGTCCTCCCCCAAGCCGGTTTAACTAGAAGAGCCAAGGATCAGCCAAATACGTTGATCTATGTGCCGTGTTAGTCCAACATAAATCTCCACGTCTACAAACCATGATCAAAAACGCGACGCGTTTCCTTCGCCCGGAGCCATCACACTGGATTATTACCGTTGTTTCATAACCAAGAGTTGTTTTGGAGATGTTTGGATAGAGCAATCACGTCGAAAAATTTGTCATAACGTTAAGACAGGCCAAAAATGACTTTTTTAAAAATCCAGGTTCTTTTTACGGGATTAAAGAGAAAAACATAATATGATAAGAAGCAAGGACAGATAGCATACAGTACGAAACAGTAATTGAAGGAAACTGTCGAACTATAAAGACATTCAACTTGACTGGAGAATACATTCGTCAGTTACAGTCTGCTTAATGGAGACCTCGATAGTTGTAAACATCTTGGTTTGTATGTAATAGTTTTTGCTAAGTAATAGATATGAACAGTCAAAAACTAGTGATATCCGATTTACATACAATGAGCAGACCATAAGTCAAACCATAAAAAATGAGATCGGTCCCTTTTTTGATGTCGTCTCGGCAACCGTAAGTCAGATCGAACACAACTTCCATTTCGCCAGGGAACAAAAGCGTTACCCGACGCGGGACTCATTCTTCATGGACGAAACTGGAAGTTATTGTTGTGATAACGAAACTGCACCCTAGTACTCGAAAATTTTACGGGTAATCTGGTCAAGTAAAAAAGATCTCAAATCCCTTGTTGAAGACTTCAATCTAAAATATTGGCATAATTACTAATTTCTTGCTTTAATTACTTGTTTCCGTAAGTCGGTAGTTCACGGCTCAAGCGATTTTTTTTTTGTAACAATAGTTTGTCGCCGAACTGTTCTTCCGTCGGTCTTTAGTTGAATAGTTTCAGTGATATCTTACTCTTACATTATGACATATAAATTGAATCTAATAGATAAATTCCATCCCTATGTTTTCTTGTCTTGGGAAACATATACCGCATATTTACTCTTTCCACGTTAAATTGATTATAACGCGTAATGGCGATTGCTCATAAGGCTATTCATGTTTGAGAAATAATTTAAATGTGTTACAACCATCTGCACATTCGGGCTTATTGACTGTTTACCCATTTGATTTTGAATTCGGTGCCGGACTTAATCAAATGTAGCAGGGAAAATCTGATTATGTCATTGCATGGTCCTTTGGATTAAGGCCTTCGTATTAGTCAAGAATGAAACATTAATAGTTTTCGTGGTGTAATCGGTGTAAATTGATGTCTGGTTTTATTGCTTTAAGCTATATATTGTTTTAACACATTTACTGCGTTGCTGTTTTGGGTCCGGTTCATTTCGCCGACAATCATTTCACCGACAAATTTTCGCCAGCATTATTTTGAAATTATCCTTTTTGGTAGTTTTTGTCGGTGAAATGTGTCGGTGAAATGTACCTGTCGGTGAAATGAATGCAATCAATGATGATAGATTTTGGAGGATGGCGAGATATTGGCTGTAGAGGAATTTCGGGAATTTGAAGACGTTGAAAAGCGGTTTGAGTTGGTGGAAAGAAAATGCGTTAAAAAATTAAAAGAGGATACTATGATTCTAAGGTTAAAAACTATTAATGGCGTAGACGAAAGCAGGAAAATTAAAAAGACATGTACATTTATTTGCAAAAATCGATACCTTTTTCAACCATTAGGAATACAAGATTTCAACAATCGTTGTTATGTAATATTAATATGTTAACGGTAGTCTTATTTGATCAAATTGACATGGAAAATGATATTAGTGTGGTTGTGACATTTTTGGCCACTGAAAATATGTTTCCTATCCTACTGTTATGGCTCACACCTTTCAAAAATAAAAATATTTATTGTAATTCAGAGGAATAACAAGTGAATAACATATTATTGAAGACAAGTATAACAATATTATTTGAAAAATGTTTCTAAAGTTTGTTGTTTTTTCGCTTCCTGAACTTTAAAGCAGCATGTCGAATTAACACACTCGCTCAAGGCATCATTAACCTTGTGAATATCTCTTTCCTTTCTTTCATCAATTGTCCAGCATCACCGGAATTATCCACTTTAATCCATAGTTCTGATTCAGCTATTATTTTGGCGGTCGACGTCTAGGTTAATCGTTTCCATCAACCTTTTGATAGAACAGTCAGGATGATCATGTTTGTATATTGTATAGGCATAAGGCTTTTTTTGTTTCTAAAGAAATCGCCTTACATCAGTTTTTGGCATTTTTAGTAGTAATACAATAAGTCGTTGATTTTTTTTCCAACAATGCGCGTTTTACAAAATTAAATGAAGACACGTGATCATATGTGACTATAGACAGGATTGTTTGAAAGATTCTGTGAAATGGTTGGTTACGATTTGGAGATGGATCTGAGCGATCCAGAGAATGACGAAGTGCAGAGCATGGGTAATTTATAATTTCGCCCTCCATTCATATCAAGTAGAAGGTTTAACGTATTTCTTTTTGTAAGATTAGTAAATATTAATTTTATTTGTTTTATTTTATTTACTTTTACTTTTATTTTACTTTTATTTTATTTATTTCTATCTTCGTCTACCGATGGAATTTTGTTTGATAATTTCTTGAATTTTGCCACAAAGAAACCGTCCATGTTATGAACATGCGGGTAGTAGCGTCTCGTAAGACTCAAAGCGGGAGAAAATATCTTGCCTCGATACCTGAACATCAAAGTTTTTTTAATATTACGATCGTTTGACAGTAGTTTTTCTGACCAGAATCATGTCTACTTACTTTGTAAACCCTTCTCTACCAAACTCCAAACCAGTTGATACCAATTTTACATTTGGTCTTTTCTTTAGCGCATAGAATACGACCTGTTCGTTTTCTTCTATTGTAACCGAACAAGTTGAATAGACTATGTAGCCACCTGTCGGCGATTTTGCATCCACAGAGTCAATAGCAGCCAGAATTAATTGCTTTTGCAAATGCGGTAGAATCATAAAATCTTTCTCCGTCTAAACATCACGAGATGTTAGTGTAAACGGATAATGCTATAAATATAATGAATCAGTATCTGCAAACCTTATTTATCTTCACTCCCGGATCCTTTGATATAACCCCAGTACCACTACATGGGGCATCCAACAATACACGATCAAACCCACCAATGACGCCGGGAAACTCTCTGCCGTCATAATTGCACACTACTGAATTTCTCACGCCCAGTCTGTGTATGTTTGCTACCAAGGCTTTCAATCTATCCTTACTGGCATCATTGGCAAATATCATTCCAGAATTTTTCATTAATGCTGATATATACGCCGTTTTGCCACCAGGTGCTGCTGCCATATCCAGAATCTTTTCATTTTCTTGTGGAGCAAGGGCCATTACCGGCAAAAATGAAGAAGCCGATTGCAGTATATAGTGACCCGCCAAATATTCGGGTGTTGCACCTGACAAGGAAATAAATAATGTCGTTTAATACGAATGCGGTAAAAAAAAATGCAACAAGTTTGATGGGCTCGATTCGTTACCAATTGGTACTGAAGAATCAAATACTGTCAGTCCGACCTTTGACCATTTTCCGATTGGCTCGAGATTTACTCCTCGATTTACAAGAGCCTGAGTCATGTCATATATACAAAGCGTTAATCACTAAAAAAATAAAAAGAGAATTGAAAACATCACATTGGCTTTAATCTTTCACCTGCGCCAGATCTCTGCGTCGAGTCCTTATTGTATTAGTACGAATGGTTACTGGTCTCGCTACTTCATTTGCTTCAAAAAATTCTATTGCCTGTAACGATAGTAATGGTATAAGAGTAAGTTCACATAGCATAACGTATGCAAAAAAAAAAAAAAGCAAGACAAAAGCAATATTCGTGCCTCGGACACGGAAAATAAATGAAACAATTTCTCAGCCATAAATTCCGAGTATCCATAATATATTGCAACATCTTTGGTCAACTGTGAGATGTATTCGGCGCGTCCTCTAAGATAAGCTATATCGTTTTAGAAACAATCCGAGACATTGTGAATATGGCGTTTACCAGTTTGAAACACTTACCGTTCATGATCACCTAATTCTTTAAAATTGTTCAGAGTGCGTATAATGTTTTGAATTCTTTGATGAACGACTTGTAAATCAGTCGTCGTTTGTTCATCTTCGCCCTCTTGACCGCTGGGTAGAACAAACATCTCGGTCTGTTTCATATTGGCTTGAAGTTCCGCTTCTGCCAAGGCGGCATCATGTTTTTGTTTTGCCTCAAGCCTCTCAGACCTCATCACAATCTTGATTGTGAAGAGTATATGTGCCGTCAAGAATGTTGTATTATACAATCGGTGAATAGCATTTAATCAAGTAATCTTGACTTACGTCTTCCCCATCACTACTATCGCTATCGCTTTCATCTTCACTTTCAATTTCACTTTCGCCTTTATTTCGACTTGATTGTTTGTTCGCGTTATTAACCGTATTCTCGGTTGTATTTTTGATTCCTTTCTTTTCGGTTAAATTAATACTTTCATCATCAGTTGAATCAAATAAATCGGCTTTTTTTCCATTGTTCTCAACTTCCTCGTCGTCCAAGGACATCTCGTCTGTAGAGAGTTCATCACTATCGCTTGTCCCCATGTTTTCCGTTGTGGTTGGAGAAAATTTTTGCGATCAAAT